CTTCCCACTTGCATTAGCTGGAGATGTCAAAAGCAATAGAAAGACATGAGTGCGGGTTGAACTACGCTATTAAAAAATTATCTTTTTGGTATTATATTTTCAATTTTCATCAAGTAAAAACAGAACAAGTGCAAAGTTTTCTTAGTTTTTTTAACTTCTTGTTACTTTATTATTTTTTTTATAAAAAATAGTCAAAATAAAATCTATAATTCTAAATCAAATTTCATTACGTAGCCTTATCTGAAGAATAAAACCAAGCAGGATGACTCTTCTCTTCTTGAAAGAATATCATCAACCACCTTCCACAGTCGCAGCCATATTTGTCCACTGCCGCTGTGAACACCACCATCAACACCAATATGCCACGAGAGAGAGAGAGGACAACCATATGAAAAATGCTCTATGACAAAGCAATATTGATTGCTCGATTTAGAGAGGGTCCATGTCAATGAGATGCGAACTTATCCAACCCTCTGACATGCTTGCTTGAATTTTGGTCCTTCTAGAAATGAAACAAAACGGTACAGTTTTGTGAATTGACCACTTTATTCATTATGGATAACTCCTCACTCTCTCTCCTACCCTATACTTCCAAAAATCCAAACCAAGTTCTTGGAAGTATACACCTGATGACCACACATCAATGAGTTGGTGAGGAACATGGCCAGGAATGACAGTGGACCAAAACAGGAGAGGAGGAGTAGTATCCATTCCTATTCCGCTTAAAAAAAGTTTGTTCATATCCGATCCTCTTCCTTTAACGAGCTAATTTTAATTGCTATTTCAACGCTGCAGTGAAATTCTAATCCCCGCCTTGCCCATAACAAGGTTGAGATATTGAACTACCAAGGTTAGGATTGCTTTATGTAGCTTGTCTTTGCTACAGTGACGTATGAGGCTGGACGATGCATGAAGACACGTTCAATCACAGCTTTGCATTGTTAAACTTCTGTTTCCTATCGTTCTGTACCTTCTGTAATTCTATATATCATGTCTTCTGTATTTCATAGACTTGAATCGTTGAAAGCTACTTTCTTTCATGGTGTCATGATCTTACAATACTAGAGTTCAATCTCTCACAGGGCTTTTCAAAATTTTAACTTCTTGCCCATGCCCCTTCTTCTGTCTCAAAGAAAATGTTCAGTCTGAGTTGTTCTAAAATCCAAAATCATTTCACTTGCTATTAATGATTTGTTGCCCAATTGTACTAGTTGGAAGAGGATTGTATTCTCTTAGAGAGAGAGAGAGAGAAGGGAAGGGCGTTACCTGGTCAGCGAAAGAGAGTGAGAGAAGGCAGTGGCATCTGAATTAAGGCCGAGTCCTTGGGATTATTTATATATATATAACTAACGAGTTAAGTGGGGCAAGCCGGAGTGGGGGTAAGTTTCAATCTATTCCTGCCTCCACAACCACACGGGTTTATACATATATTCTTATATACGTCCACCATCCAATACGTATGATTTATTTCCAATCCAAAATAGAGTAAATTTGGACAAATCCCCATTTTCTGGCCCACTGCTATCCCTAAACATGGCCTATTTACCCATCAAAACCATCCATCAAACTTATCTATTTCAATGGCATGTCCTGTAGGCACTTGTTTCTGGTGGCATTGGTTTGTCCAAGGTAGCTTACCCATCTAAGCAATTAGAAGAGCGCAGAATTTGACCTCTCCTATAAGCTCAAAAAAAGAATCATAATCATATATGCATAAAACACTATAGATGAATAAGCTCTTATCATCTATTATATCGGGCTGAGTCGAGCGCATTGGTTCTATGCTTGTTTTGATAATTTTTACAATGGGAAGGCAGAAGAATAAAAGGGTTATTAGAATAAGAGAAGACAGAGAACTACACAGCAGCAGAGGAAAAAACACACTCTGCCAAGTGACTTGTCAGCCTGCATTACATGCCTTCTCACCCTTGGACTACTACTACCAGCCATACGATAAGAATGTGGATAAGTATGAAGAGTTGTTTCTGAGTCACCAAAAATCCTTGCGTAAATCATTTCCCCAAGCATTCCAATCAATGGATGGAATGAAGTTGTCGTTGTCGTGCCACCAAGGCCAAGCATGGGTGTGTCAGCATAGCTGCCACCATTAGGGTAGTGCATTTGTGGCTGTTGTGGATAGCTTCCATGATTACGTTGCTGAGATGGTCGCGGACTAGTGTTGGTTGTAGATGCTATCAAGGAGTGTGGTCCGCACCTAGGACTGGGTGGCCTCCTTGGTATAACTATACCGAGATGCAGAACCTTGCTGTCGGAGGGTTTTGTAGTTTGGCCGCGGCCATAGAGAGGAACTAATGTTTTTTCTGAAATTTCAGCCTTGCATACAGGGCACTGCAGCTGTTGCTGGCTTTGGTTTTCATCGGAGATGCTCTGGAAATGAATCCACTTGTAAATGCAAGGCCAGCAGTAAAGGTGACCACAGAGTGTCACTACAGGGTCCTGCACAAAGTCTAGGCAGATGTTGCAGTCAAAACCACCGAATTGAGTATTTTCACACTCATCAACAGCGGCTGAGAAAGATTTCCACTTTGCTATGGAAGTATCCTCTTCTATGTTGGAGTCGTAGTGTGTCAGAGGTTCTGGAATGTATTGCTCCATGGCCATTTTTGGTCTGTTTCTTAAAGAGAGTTTATCTTGGTTGTCAATGCCTGAAGTACATACGTCAGAAAGAAAAACCGTTAGGAGCCTAAACTTTTGTACAGAGCTCAGAAGCACAGTTAACGAAGAAAACTTCACTTATTTGACTGCTATACTAGAGAAAAGAATATTCAAATGGTACAGTTTGCAGAGGTTCAGTGTAACAAGACACAGGATTCTTTTCGGTTCAGAGCTTGCCTACTGAAGAATTTTTAGGTGAAGTCTTTAATCTCGAATCCATATGTCACTAGTAAATTGGTAACCCTCAAAGTTATGGTCCATCAATTAGGAATTTCAACCGATTTACCATAAAAAGTATCTTAGACAACAACATAATCAGACAAGCTGATCAAATAACTATCCAATACCTTCATTTCTCAAATATTTTTCCAGTATTCATCAGAAATCTGCAGATTATCAATTATTTGATTGCTAAATCTTGGTTTCTACAGTATACTGATGCCCGATCTGGTAAGAAATATGACGTAAAAACACTAAACTAAAAATTTAGATTATCGATCAATGGTTCAATGCTTCAATGCTTCAAGCAAAACCGATTGAGTAAAATCCTATTTTGACTTAAAAATCTGACCTAATTTACTGACATAATGATGTGATTCCATAGAAATCATTAGATCAACACCTAGTTCCAATGTTTGATGGAACCTATAGTCAATTTAAAAGTCACAGTGAATTAGGTCAGCAAATGATGTCAGTAAATTAGGTCCCAATAACATTGCTCAAACCGATTACCAAGATGTGACGGACAGTGTTAACAAGGAATGATTTGCGTATAGGTATGAAGTCCTAACAGCAGATCAACCAATCCTCTCCATTTTGTACAAATATGAAACAAGAAAGAAATGCAGTTTGGTAGGTAGAAAATTTGGTTAGAAATAAATTCAACGACAAAAGCATCTAACCAAATTTAGAAAAACTTCCACTATAACCTTATCTTCTCAAATGCCCTATCTACCTATCTACTATTTCTGATTTTAATAGGTGGGACACCTAATGATGGATTTCTTCTCTATGCTAACCAGTTACCCCTCGTCCAGTGGACATCTAAGTCGTAAGCATTAACTGAGAAGACCTACCAAGATACTTCTAGAACACATACTATGTTGGAGGAAGAGAAGAGCACTCCAATGCTTTTAAAAATTTAGCATTAAATGTAAAGCGTCAAAAGAGTGCATGGCCTCCCTGTGGTCTAGACCCTTGGTCTCAATCTGAAGTAAATATTCAACAGAGTTCCATCATGTCATTAACGCCATGGTGTCACCATCCAATAAGAAACAATGAATAAAGTGAACTTAACTTCTTTACATGGGCTAGTTATAATATTACATGTATGGGTAGTTACGGAATTGTATAGGAACTACTAGCTCACTTGTTTTTTTTATCTAATGGTAACAGCTCGTGTGGTTATAATGTGGTGTCACCATTACATTGAATATTTTCTCCACAATCTGGCTCTATCACTGCATGAAACATCCTAACTGGAAGGCTAACATCTTCTTGCCATCATCTACTCTTATCGAGCAATCAAACCAAGAACAATTTCGTAATGAAAAATATCTCGACCTAAATGGAACAAAACTGATATGGAACTCCAGAAAAAGACAAATACTTAACTCTTAATTGGTATGTCTTTTTCTAACAGAGAAGGTGTTTATACTCAACTGAGGAACAGTAGACACTACTTTTCTTCTTCCTGGTCTATTGTTAGGGAAAAAGGTGTTGACCCAATCTAATTCAATATATGCCATATCATTCAATTCAATTATGAACCTATAATGTGAGGTTTCAAAAAGAAAACATATCAAGTTGTAAGAGATCCATGGGACAATGTAGAATACATCTTAGGAAACAGAAAAATAGAGTTCTATATAATTTTCAGAAAATAGATTATCAATTAATAAGATTCAGAGACTAAATCCTTCATCAATTATAATGCCTCATACTCGGATGTTTGACCACTCAACAATAAAACTACTCAAATTTTATCCTAATCAATCTATCATATAAAACAGGGCAGACTTCAATAAGTTCATCCGACAGTCTCAAATAGACTCNTGTCACCATTACATTGAATATTTTCTCCACAATCTGGCTCTATCACTGCATGAAACATCCTAACTGGAAGGCTAACATCTTCTTGCCATCATCTACTCTTATCGAGCAATCAAACCAAGAACAATTTCGTAATGAAAATTATCTCGACCTAAATGGAACAAAACTGATATGGAACTCCAGAAAAAGACAAATACTTAACTCTTAATTGGTATGTCTTTTTCTAACAGAGAAGGTGTTTATACTCAACTGAGGAACAGTAGACACTACTTTTCTTCTTCCTGGTCTATTGTTAGGGAAAAAGCTGTTGACCCAATCTAATTCAATATATGCCATATCATTCAATTCAATTATGAACCTATAATGTGAGGTTTCAAAAAGAAAACATATCAAGTTGTAAGAGATCCATGGGTCAATGTAGAATACATCTTAGGAAACAGAAAAATAGAGTTCTATATAATTTTCAGAAAATAGATTATCAATTAATAAGATTCAGAGACTAAATCCTTCATCAATTATAATGCCTCATACTCGGATGTTTGACCACTCAACAATAAAACTACTCAAATTTTATCCTAATCAATCTATAATATAAAACAGGGCAGACTTCAATAAGTTCATCCGACAGTCTCAAATAGACTCATTCGACAGTCTCAAATAGACTCATGCAACAGTCACCAACATCCTTCTCAAAATCATTCATATTGCACCGTGACTTCAGGGCACGGGTTACCCTCGTTTAATATATACTAAGATATGATATTCCTATCCTGTCCAAATTCCAAAAGAACAGCGGTAGAGCCTTTGGCAGTTAATAATGAAACTTTTTACCCTTGGCCCCAGTTAAACTATACTACAGAAAAACAATTGAAGATGCACATACAATCTCTAAAGATCTCAAGTTTGAGCGATATAAAATGGCAAAAGAAGGAAAATCTGATTATGGACCAGTTATTAATTTACAGAAAAAAAAAATAGGAAAGTCACTGAAACTGGAGTACTTAATTTCAGAATATTTGTGTGGACTCTTAGATTTATTACAGAGGTTTGTCAAGGACCATCACAAAAAGACTGCAAAAAAAGCAAGAGCTTGAGAGTGACTTAAGGCCAGACAGAACTAGGTGTGTAGGGAAAAGGGTATTTTTTCAGAAAAATAAGCAAATCGGACATTTTTGGGCAGGCACAAACAAATCTTTGCCATCGTAGTGCTCCAAGAACCCAATTCACAGGGTAAGAACTGGATTGAAACAAAGATTTGGAAGCAGAAAAAGGAACCCATAGCCATAGTCTAGAAATTACAAATAAATATTTGTGTGAATTCTGTTACGGATCAAGCTGAATATCGGAACAATAACGCCAAAAACCCCTCCTGGTTTTCCAAAGTATGGCGGCATAAAAGCCTTGAAGTGACCCACAAAACACCAAGAAAACCAAGTACCAGAAACCAATTGTAAATAGCCAAAAACAGATGGAGAAACGAACATACAGATTCTATCTCATCAAAAGAGAGAAATCCACTGACCCAAAAAGGGGAACAAAAAAAAAAAAACCAAGAAACATAAGGCAGAAACCCGGTCCAATTCAAGCTAGGTGAGCACATACATGTAAACCAAACCTGAGATTTCTTGGATTCAAAAAGACCCAAAACAGAGGCCACTACTTCTAGATAGATATATATATATATATATATATATAGAGAGAGAGAGAGAGAGAGAGAATTACATACCGAAATATCAAGGCTGGCTTTGTAAATCTCAGATGTGTTAGTATCGTAACTTGGATGGCGAATGTAATGGCTTCTTACAGAGGAAATGCTTTAGAGAGAGAGAGGACAAAGGAATAGATATATATAGAGTGAAAAGAGAGTTGCAGAGAGAGAGAAAAGGTTATGTTTACGGAGAGAGAGAGAGAGAGAGAGGAGTGAAGCAAGGGAAAGATAATTGCTTGGGAATGGCTGAATGAAAAGGTCCCTGCTCGCATTATATACATACAAACACCCGCACCCACACCCACACCCACACAAAGAGACAAGTAGCCAGAAAGGAGAGATGTATACAAGTTTTGTATAGTTACGGATGAACATTTCTTNGCTCGCATTATATACATACAAACACCCGCACCCACACCCACACAAAGAGACAACTAGCCAGAAAGGAGAGATGTATACAAGTTTTGTATAGTTACGGATGAACATTTCTTATACGGCGCGATACCCTCCTGTCTCTCTCTCTCTCTTCTCTGACGTGGTAGCTTCTCGTTACCGGTTTGCGCGTTTACCGGNTTATACGGCGCGATACCCTCCTGTCTCTCTCTCTCTCTTCTCTGACGTGGTAGCTTCTCGTTACCGGTTTGCGCGTTTACCGGGTTGAGTTCATCTCTTTTAACCCTTTTCCCCTTTCCGTTTTTGGATAATGGGTGCTAATTTCACGACTTAAACTCGAAGCAAAGTTATCGAATTTAGATTAATTATTTTTTAACACGAAATTTAAAAATAACACAATTTATTAACATAAATATTAATATAAATCTGATTAATGTTAGTGTTGAATGTGAATTTTATAATTTTTTTATGTAGTATTAATACGAATAGTTATAAAATATGATTATTTTCTTTAATTATTTTCACTACTATATGCATTTAGTGAATTTTCCGTATATAAAAATTATGATTATACGTATGAGTGAAAGATAAATGAATCTTAATTTTAAATTTTGGATTCATGAGTTAGAGGAGTCAATTCAAATACGACACAATAGTGACATCTTTTTGCAAATTGGTTAGGAGGGTGGGTAAAAAATTTCTTTCGCGTGATTGTGTTATTTTTATTTTTATATAAAATTCCAAAGATATGGTTATATAATGATGCAAGAATTTTGGTAATTTGTATCAACGAGGCAAATGAATTGTCCCATAGAAGACTATGTTGTTTTGACATTA